CCCCCCATCCCCTGCTTATCCTCTTCCCTACCTCCCAGTGGCCGTGCTCAGGGCTGCCAGGTTGATCTCCGTAACACCCCCACTTATTTTTTGCTCCAGATGCTTCTAAAAGGGGCTGAAGGGTGAATGAATAATCAGCTTGTCTCATTAAGAAGAGAAAAAAATACCATTCGGAGCCGCTGTACAGAGGGTGTGGGAAGCCAGTGGGTAAAAAGAAACGTTGCTCTACCACGTCCTTATCAATTTTACTTCACCTAAGAACAGCTTTGGTGGAAATAGCCACAGGCTCCTTACGGAACGGGGCTGAGAGCTCTATTAAGCCTTGGAAGGGGCTGCCCAGGGCAGGGGTTGAGGCACCATCCCTGGAGGTGTTCAAAAGACGGGCTGACATAGCACTTGGTGACAAGGTTTAGCAATGGGCTTGATCAGAGTTGGGTTGATGGTTGGATTTAGATGATCTTAAAGGTCCCTTCCAACCTGGCCAATTCTATGATTCCTCGAGAGCCAGCTTTACCAGCTCTGCTGTTTAGGATCCATCCATTCTGCAGCATTCCTTCTCGGGGGTGAAGGCTGAGGGGTTAAATGCAGAGCGGGCAGCGTGGGTTGGGGGGGCTGCTGCCTCCCCAGGGCAGTAGGTTGGGATGGGAAGGTGGAGAAGGTGGTGGGCACTTCCAGAGCCAGAGGGCAGGCAGGGCTGCGTAGCCACGGCCCGAGGAGAAGGCTGGGGCTGAGTTTCGCTGTGCAGGCGAGAGGAGGGTTGTGGAGGGGGCTCTGCAGCCCATTCCCTTGGGTACCTTCCCAGGCTGGTGGCTCTCATTGCACAGCTGTGTCCTCCCTAGCCCAATCCTGGATGGTCCCGCTGCCAAAGGCGACGTAGAAGATCAGGCCAAACAGGTTGAGGGCTGCAGACAGGAAGAAGGCATTTCTCCAGCCAGTCTGGAGATTCTGGGAGGGCAAGAACACATCATGATGGTGTCACCCTTCCTTTTATCTCCACGTAGTGATCACCCAACTGCTCCCACCCAGTTCACTGGCATTAAACTCATCTCCATCCTCCGCTTGCTACTCATACCAGCAACAGAAGAGCTTTGTTCAGCTCAAGACATATGCCAGACCCCCTCTTGCTGGAGAGGTATTTCCTGCCTTGGCATTTTTGGAACCACTCTGTGCTGAATTCAGGAAGCTTTCCTGCCTGGCACAGAGCTTCCCCCTCACCCAGCTCCCTCGACCCTCTCCCCATCTCTAAGTACATCCAGATGGGGCCCATGTGGAGCTCTTCCTGCTTTCTGAGTCATCCCTGCGTCCTCAAAATGGTCCTGAGCTCTGTTAGAGTGGGTGCTACCTCACATGTGCTCCTTGGGTGAGGGGGTTGGCTTGGAATAATTTTTGACTCAGTGCAAAGAAAGGAATCCATTTCTGAGAGCAGATCCATGTTTTCTTCCAGGGATGTGCTTGCAGCTTGTGGCCCCAAATTACCTGGCCCACGAGAAGTCCAACAGCGGTAGGAGCAATAATTCCTGCAACTATGCCAAAGGTATTTGTGATTCCCAGCAGGAACCCTGCATATCTGGGGAGAGGAAGCAAAGGTTTCCTGAGCGAGGCAGAGAGGAAACTGTCACAAGAAGGGAAAGGAGTAGGTGCTGCCAATCCCTTCCCTGACACGATGAGCAACACCAGGATCTTCTCTGCAAGACAGGGGGGATTTTAAGCCTTTATTTTACTCCTTAGCTTACAATGCCACCAGCTACAGAAGATGAGGGAAGGGAGAGTGGGAGTTGCAGAAGCCTTGGGGGATTGGGAACAGGAAGGATGCAGAGAAAGGAGGGTGCAGAGGTCAGACCCTCTTACCTGGGGGCTATATCCATGTGGTTAATGTTGATGCCTGCCCCTGTCGTGCTGATTATCGTCAAGGCCAGCGTCAGGAGGACGACAACAACCGTGGAGCTGCAGCCAACGTAAGGCACAGCCAGCAGGAAGGCAGCTGGGAGCAGCATCCCTTGGGAGGAAAGGGGGATGTGTTTTACAACAGGCCACACAAGTGTGTTGGAAAGGCCGGGTGGCAGATGAAGGCTTGTCCTTACCGAGCGCTGAGAAGAGCTTCCTGACGGCTGCTGTGCCAAGCACTCGCCGGGCCAGGAGGAAATCGGCCAGTAGCCCAGCCAGGATGTGTCCCAGCCCGTTCCCAATGTAAGGCAGGGAGGAGAGGAGCCCGTTCTGCAGAGCAGAGAACAAGACATTGTCATGTCCATGGCATGAAACAATGGAGACAAGAGCTCCAAGACTGCAGCTCCCTCAGTCCCAGAGCCACTGCTCTTCAGGAGGAGATATCTCTGGGGATCCTCCATGTTCCCAGCCTACGGAGAGATCAAATCCCATTGCTGTTGCAAGGACCAGCCTCAGCCACAGGGCAGCACTCACCTCTCTGAGGTCAAAGTGGAGGACGTTGTTCAGGAACGTGGGCATGGAGGTCAGCAGCATGTAGAACATCCAGTCAGTGCAGAAGCAGGCGATGGTGATCGCCCAAAGAGGCAGTGATTTAGCCATGGCCATTAGTGGGAGGGAGAGGCCATGAGAGCTGCCCTGGAAGGAATAAAACATCAGACAGTGTTGCTGTTCCTGTCTCCCATCCATGGGCAGGCGGTCCAGGCTTTCCTTGTGCCCTGGAAGGAATAAAACATCAGACAGTGCTGCTGTTCCTGTCTCCCATCCCATGGGCAGGTGGTCCTGGGCTTCCCTCAGCCTCATAGAATCATAAAATGGTTAGAGTTGGAAGGGACCTTAAAGATCATCCAGTTCCAACCCCCTGCCCTGGGCAGGGACACCTCCCACCAGACCAGGTTGCTCCAAGCCCCTTCCAACCTGGCCTTGAACCCCTCCAGGGCTGGGGCAGCCACAGCTTCTCTGGGCAACCTGGGCCAGGCTCTCACCCCCCTCACACCAAACAAGTTCTTTCTGGTATCTAATCTAAATCTCCCCTTTTCCAATTTAAAACCGTTGTCCCTTGTCCTTTCACGACACTTCCTGACAAATTCTTCCTGACAAATTCCTGACTTCCTCATCATCTGCTGCTGAGGACTGGGACTAGCCCTGGCCACTGCACAAGGGGCCCAGCTGAACTGCCCGAGAGCAGCCCCTTTGCAGGTGCCTGCAGCGTAGTCAGGCGTGGTGAGAAGGTCTGCGTGTACCTGCTGAACCAGAGAAGCCACAATGTACTCCTGCTCCCCAGCACTAATCCATGGGTGATGTGCAGGGTCCTCGTACACAAGGAGGAACCAGCAGAGGCACCAGGCACAGCCAACACCACCTGTGAAGCAAAAGAAGCAGCAAAACAGGGAGTGTGGGAAGATGAAAAGGGAGAACTCCCCTTAACCCAGTGCTCAGAGTGGAAGGGACCGGGTTGATGGCACAAAAAGTTCAGCAAGGGCACATTCCCTAATGGTATCCCAGCAAAATGGCTTTGTCCAGCCTGGTGGGTGAGGGGGGAGCCCAGAGCTCTGTGGGACTAGTAAGGACAGGGCTGGTCCCACAGGGCACCGAGGGGGAGCCTTTGGGAGCTCTGCCAGCAAAGGGTCTGCAGAAGGACACGATGGGCTATTTACTCACCAAAGATGTAGAAGACAAAAGGCCACCCCAGACTCTGGCAGATGATCCCAGCCACGAGGAGAGCGAAGAAAGTCCCGAACGTGCATCCTAGGGATCAGAAACCAGAAGAGTCATTTTAATGGGACTTTGGTACCCAAGTACCTTTGTGTGACCAGCAGCGAAGTGGGACAGACCTACAGCCTCCAGCCTGATTTGTGATGGAAAAATGCAGTGGCACAAATGAAGCACTTGTGCAAACAGGGAAAAAAAATACCAAACCCTTGTATTCAGGTTTGTTTCCTTCAGTGTCTGGGTTCCCCCTCCTGCCTCAGGCTGACCTGAGCCAAGGAGACAGAGAAGACCCAGGATGGAAGGAGAAGAGGCAGAAAGTCTGAACGCTGCTAATGCTGCTTTGCCAAGGACCCACAGCCTTGAACCTGAGGCCGCTACAAGGGCTGGAAAGGAGGGGGTGAGGGGAGGTCCTGAATCGGGGGTGGGGAAAAGTCCTCATGTCTTACCAGCATCAGCGATGTTCATGAGCCTGCTGCGTTCCAGCGGAGGGGCCCACTTTGCCCAGAGCGTGTACTGAGCTGGGAATATCACTCCCTGCAAGGATAACAGGGTGGAGGGGTGGAGGGAAGGGACAGGGGGAGCGCAGCCAGGGACAACCAGGGTTTCCAATGTAGCCTGGTGGCACCTGGAGGCACCTGGAGCCACGACTGACCTCAGCCAAGCCCAGCAGCACCTGGAGGCCAATGAGGACGCCGACACCAAGCTCTGCTGCCACGGGCAGGAGGAGGGTGAGCAGGGAGGAGAGCAGGAGCCCACTGCCCAGGATGGGTTTGCCCCCAAACAGCCCCGAGCAGTACCCGCCCAGCGCCTGCGTGAGGCCGTAGCCGTAGAAGAAGGAGCTGAGGATGATTCCTTGGGTCTCAGCGCTCCAGTTGTACACGGGGGGCTGGAGGAGATAAAACACTTCTGTCAGGCAGAGATCTGTGTTTTCCAAGCGCAGACTCCTCCAGAAAGGGGGAAGCAACCAGGAAACGCAGCCCTGAGTACCGAGCTCTCTGCTCCTTCACCCTCCTGGTCCTCAAGGCTTTTCTCTGCTGCTTCCAACTCTGTCCTCACTCCAGTGCATGCTGGCAGCCCAGAAAGACAACCCCATCCTGGGCTGCATCAAGAGAAGCGTGGCCAGCAGGTCACGGGAGGTGATTCTGCCCCTCTGCTCTGCACTCGTGAGACCCCACCTGGAGCTCTGTGTCCAGCTTTGGAGTCCTCAACATAGAAAGGACATGGACCTGTTGGAACGGGTCCAGCAGAGGGCCATGAAGATGATCAGAGGGATGGAGCACCTCTGCTGTGAGGACAGGCTGAGAGAGCTGGGGTTGTTCAGCCTGGAGAAGAGAAGGCTCCAGGGAGACCTTAGAGCAGCCTTCCAATATCTGAAGGGAGCTCCAGGAGAGCTGGGGAGGGACTCTGTCAGGAATTGTAGTGACAGGACAAGGGGTAATGGTTTTGAATTGGAAGAAGGGAGATTTAGATTAGATATTAGGAAGAAATTCTTTACTGTGAGGGTGGTGAGACACTGGAACAGGTTGCCCAGAGAAGCTGTGGCTGCCCCATCCCTGGAGAGGTTCAAGGCCAGGTTGGAGGGGGTCTTGGAGCAACCTGGTCTGGTGGGAGGTGTCCCTGCCCAGGGCAGGGGGTTGGAAGTCAATGATCTTTAAGGTCTGTTTCAACCCAAACCACTCTATGTTTCTATGAAAAGGAAGAGAGGACTGAGCCCAGGAAGCACCTTTCAGTTACCTGCGTCTGCTTTCCACTTACATCCCAAGCAAGTCCTGGGTGGGAGCTGTGGGGAGCGCTGCCGGACCAGCCGTGGGGGTGGCTGCTGTTGGTCATGGCCACGATGGCGATGCTGAGGCTGACCCGCAGCGCGTATGCCAGGAAGAGAGAGACGTGGAGGAGCAGGGCCAGGCCAGAGCGAGCGGAGCAGAGCCCTGCGGAGAGAGAGCGGCCACAAACCAGGGCTGGTTGGAGGGGCCGAGGGTTAACTCTCACCCCCTCCTACAGATCCCTGTCACCAGGCAGTCACCTTAGTGCAGCAACAAATGGCTCTTTCCAGGTACCCTCCAGACCATTTCTCCTTTGCAGGGGTGGCAGTTTGTTTCTCCAGCAGGAGAACGGAGGGGCAGGAAAGCAAGGAGACTTGCCCCAGGGTGGAGGGGACGTGGCGAAGCCCAAAGTTGTTGGTTGCCAGCCCCTGCTGAGGCAGCACTTGTACTTGAGCCCGCTCCTCCCCGGGGAGTGGATTTACCTGTGCGGGAAGAGGGCTGTGGGGCAAGCAGAGGGGCTTCATCCTGCCCCACCGCCGGCCCGTCCCCTGCCTGCGCGTTGTCTGCGTGGCACTGCATCCCCTCCCGCCTGCAGCGCTGCTGCCTCCTGCTCCTCCTCGGGGTATCGGCCAGCCCTGGTGGGAAAGGAATCTCAAACAGAATCACAGAATCCCATGGGGTTGGAAGGGACCTCTGGAAATCATCTAGTCCAACCCCCTGCCAGAGCAGGGCCACCCAGAGCAGGTCCCACAGGAAGGTGTCCAGATGGGTTTGAATGTCTCCAGAGAAGGAGACTCCACCACCTCCCTGGGCAGCCTCTGCCAGGGCTCTGCCACCCTCATAGGAAAGAAGTTCCTCCTCATGTTTAGGTGGAACTTATGTGCAAGTTTGTGCCTGTTTCCTCTTGTCGTGTCACTGGGCACCACTGAGAAAAGACCAGCCCCATCCTCCTGACACCCACCCTTTAAGTATTTATAAGCATTGATCAGATCCCCCCTCAGCCTTCCCTTCTTCAGACTAAAAAAAACAAAGTCCCTCAGCCTCTCCTCATAAGGGAGATGCTCCAGGCCCCTCATCATCTCTGTAGCCTCTGCTGTCCCCTCTCCAGCAGTTCCCTGTCCTTCTTGAAATGGGGGGCCCAGAACTGGTCCCAGTGCTCCAGATGGAGCCTCACCAGGACAGAGCAGAATAGGGAGGATGACCTCTCCCGACCTGCTGGTCACCCTCTTCTTGATGCCCCCCAGGACATCCACAAACCCAGGAGCAGATGGGCAGTGAGCCCTGGAATTTCCTCCGTTACCACCCGGGTGGGAGCGGAGGGGGCCGATGGCCACACCGCCGTGAGCACAGGGATTTACAGCAGCCTCACACCTCCCCAGGACGGCTTTATTTCCACCCGTGGTTTATAACCCCCGACCACGACAGCCCGGCAGGGTCTCTCCCACCCCAGGGCGCTCCCGCAGCCGCCCCGGGGGTACCCCCTGCCCTCCCTCGCCTCCTTCCCTGCCGTCCCGTTCTCCCGGGATAGCTCACGTACGGGGAGAGGTGTCTCCCCTGCCCAGAGGGGACCGGCGGGGCCGTGGGTCTCCTTCCTCCGTGGCCCGGGGGGGGCGGGATTTGGGATTTCAGGGACGCGGGTACTGGATCTACCGACGCCGGGACTCGAACCGGCGACCTGGGTGTGAACCTCCTGATGGCCACGCCCCCCGCCATCTAGCCCCGCCCCCTTGCCACGTGTCCCGCCCCTCCCGGGCCCCGCCCCCGCCGCCTGACCCGCGCCGCGCGCCAGTCATGTGCCCAGTCAAGATGGCGGCGCTCAGGGCGGCGGTGCTGGCGCTGGCGGGGCTGGGCTTGGCCCTCGGCGGCGCGGCTGCCGCCGTCCCGCTGGTCATCTGGCACGGCATGGGTGAGCCGCCACCGGCAACGGGGCACGGTGGTGGTGGGGGGCGATCCTCCGGTAACGGCTGCGCGGGCGGGGCGGCGGGGCTCAGCCGGGCAGGCCCGCGGGATGGGGACCCGAGCAGGCCCCGGGGGGATGTGGAAGCCCGGTGTCCCCTTCCTCCGGGCCGCGGGTTGCTGGGGAGGCCGGGGGGGCGCCGACCCTCCTTCCCCGGTCCCCTGTGTGCGCCGGCAGCTCCCGGTGGAGGGGAGGTGGGGGCCTGGGCGGTGGCGTGACCCTGCGTCGCCGTGTTCTCTTATCACAGGAGACAGTTGCTGCAACCCGCAGAGCATGGGCTACATTAAAAAAATAGTGGAGAATAAAATACCGGGGATATACGTCCTGTCTCTCAAGATCGGAAGCAACTTGATACAGGTGAGTGACTCTGCTGCCACTCGGGTGTCTCCTCAGCAGGGTGGTGGCCGGCGCCTGGATCTGGAGGTGCAGTAATTATCTCAGTCTGTAATTAACGTGACCCCACGGGGATTCTTGTAGTGCTTTCACTGCTGTTTGCTTTTTCTTTGTGAAGTAAACAGCTTAGACAGATACAAAACGGTAAAGTCTAGATAATACCTGTGGAAAAGAACCAAGGGAAAAACAAATCCCTAGTCTAAATTGGATTAATATGCAAATCCATTGATTAGCACTCTCTCACTGCTCCAGATAATGCAAAGGTCTGTGATAAAAAACTGTGCTGGAGCAGGGCTTTGTTCCTTGCCATCTTTTTTTATTTACAGCTCTTTATTCCCTGTACATCTTCAGCATAAACACAGAGACTTCCGTGTCCTTGTGGGTTTTGACAGTTTTGTGTAGCCCTACAGAATTTCTTTAAATAGTCTCTCAAGATACTGTGCCATGTATGTTACTTTTTGGGATCGGGAAAAGAGGGGTGAAGTTTGATTATTATTTTTTTTTTAATTATATATATGTATACATACACACAGAATCTGAAAGGACTCAAATTGATAAGAATTTTGGGGAAGTGTCCCTGCCCCGTACGAGATGCCTTTCCCAGGCAGAGTCGGAACAAAGGCTGGGTGAAGGGAAGTCTCAAAACTTTACTTTCATTTCTGTCATACTGAGAAAGTTCAGGTCCTCTTCCAAAAGCAGAACCGTTAGTGACCTTTTTGCAGATACAAAAACAGCATGAACCATCGTAAAGGTACAAAGGATACATTTTAATCTGGCTAATCCACTAGGATATGGAGAACAGCTTCTTTATGAACGTGAACGATCAAGTGAGAGAGGTGTGTGAGCAGCTCGCAAAGGACCCTCGTCTGAAAGGAGGCTACAACGCAATGGGCTTCTCCCAAGGGGGCCAGTTCCTGTGAGTTTCCATTTCTGTTCCATTTCCAGCGATTTCTGTTGGGTTTTAGGTTCTGATTTAAAACTCTTTTGAAGTACTAAGCAGATGCAAATGGACAAAGCCCTTTCTAAAAGTAGGAGCACTCTAAAGGAGGCAAGAATGTGTTTGCCTGTAGCCTTCCTCTACCAGGAAGGGTTAATTCTCTTTGCTAATGTTACCCAAGTGCCCAAGCCCACGCAGTGGTGGCCTGGTGGCCCAGGCACACTGAGCCCCAGCTCATCTCCTTCATCTTTCTCCACAGGAGGGCCGTGGCGCAGAGGTGTCCTTCTCCTCCCATGTTCAATTTGATCTCCATTGGGGGGCAGCACCAAGGTAGTGTCCTCTTAAGCTATCACACCTTGGAGGGTGGGGAGGCTCTTGGCAGGAGTTGTTCTCTTTTTTTTGGCATCTTCCTACAATCTGACCATTTCCTTGTGAATTAAGTTGTCCCTTTGTTGTTGGCTGAATCTGGTGATCTGCTTTGGCCCGGTTGTTGCCTGACTACGTTGTCTTCTGACTTGCTTAACTGGCAAAGAGAAGGGGTTTTTGTAAGCAGACGACTCATTGTCTGGGTAGAATTCCTACATACTTGGGAAGCACTTGGGATTAGTTGTTTCGGGAGAAGAAATTTCTAACTACAGACCAAAGCCTTTGGGAAACTAAACCTTCTGGCTCACAAGGATATTTTACAGTTGGCATCTGGAAGGTGGCTACAGCCCCAAGGAAAGGGAGGTGCTTTTTGCAGTAGATGAAAGAGGCGGTATGGCATGGAATTTAAGAGGTGCACAGTTAAGAGTGGCTGGCAGTGAATTTCAAATACTCTTCCTGGAGAAGTTCCATGGGTTGAGTCTCTTTCTTTGTAGCGTAGTGGAAAGTCTTGTAGGGAACCATCCTGAGGCCTCCTGGGAACACACCAGGCGAGCTGGACGGTATTCCGCTTGTCTGCGTGCCTCATTCTCCAGAGAACACCCTCTGTTCAAGAACATCATCCATTATCGTGGTGTGTAACAGCGCCCAGGGGCAGGAGGGCTGTCTAATGAGATTGCAGGATTAAAGGCCACCTGATTCCCTGGGTAATTCTTGCCACTGTTCTGTAAGAGGGTGGTTCTTTACCGGCTGGAGGGATTAAGGGATTTCAGTTTGCCTCACCGAGTTGTTACACATCTCCACACCCCAGGGGTGTACGGCTTTCCACGCTGTCCTGGGGAGAGCTCCCGAATCTGTGACTGGATCCGAAAGACGCTGGATCTGGGCGCCTACACACAAGCTGTTCAGGAGCAGTGAGTACATTCCTCGGGCTGCACCGACGGGGGCCGGGGACCACGTGAGAAGCTCTGGGTTTCCAGTCTGATCTTTGATTGTTCTCCTCTCCAGTTTGGTGCAAGCAGAATATTGGCACGACCCGCTGAAGGAGGAGGACTACAGGAAAAACAGCATCTTTTTGGCTGACATAAATCAGGAGAGGGTAAGGACCTGGCTGATGATTAAACGCCAGCAGGAGAGCAGACGCCTTAGCAGTGAGTTCTTTTATATTCTCCCTCCCTGGCAATAGTTTTGCTGGAGCTTGAAGGGGAGCATTTTTTGCCCTGCATCCAGGGGCATACAAAGTGGTTTTGCTGGTAGATTTATGAAGGAGACTTGTCCATGGCAGAGCAGTTCCCCTGTCACTGTGCTCCTGTGCAGTGGTTGGTATAGATTCACCACACACTCAGGCCACCCATCACCTTTCAAGTGAGCAAATCCTGTCCCTCCCCAGGGGAGGCCCATCCCCTCTTTACAGCCTGGAGATGAGGCTGAACACCCTGGGCACAGCCAAGGGAGGCTGTTGGACAGAAATGCAGATTCCTGCCTCCCAGCACTCCAGGGTTTCCTTTGCAGGTGCAGGGCAAGTTGGAGCAGTTTCCCCGACCTCTCTCAGCGGGCTTTCCAGTGACACTCTTCTCTGTTGCTTTCATCCAGGGCATCAATGAGACGTACAAGAAAAACCTGATGGCTCTGAAGAAGTTTGTGATGGTGAAGTTTCTCAATGATACCATGGTGGACCCTCCAATCTCTGAGGTGAGGGAGGGCAAGTGCTGCCTTTGGGTGGTACTTTGGTTCTTGCTTGCTCATTTCTGCTCAGTCCTTTGGTGGCAGAACTTGAGGTTGGTGAGGAGCAGGCTGAGCACAAAAGTTTCTCAATGATACCATGGTGGACCCTCCGATCTCTGAGGTGAGGCAGGGCGAGTGCTGCTTTTGGGTGGTACTTTGGTTTTTGTTTGCTCGTTTCTGGTCTGTCCTTTGGTGGCAGAACTTGAGGTTGGCGAGGAGCAGGCCTGATACTGCACTGTCTCCAGCAGAAGCTGGTGAAAGCCTGCTTATCTCCTGGGAGCCCTTCAGCAGCTCTTCCTTCATTTTTATTCTGACAGTGGTTTGGGTTTTACAAAAGTGGCCAGGCCAAGGAGACCATCCCGCTGAAGGAGACCTCACTGTACATAGAGGTATGTTCCGCTGGGGGCTGAGGGGTTTCTGCTATTTCCACTCTGAAGTGTCTCTGTAGAGGTCCTGAGGAGCTCTGAACCCCCCAGCTCTGCTCTACTCACCATCTCTGCCATTCCTGGGGCACGGCCTCCTCTTGCCAGTCGCTGTCTGGGAAGGCATGTCTCTCCAGGACAGTTCTGGAGAGGGAATTACAATGATCTTCTCATGCCTGGCTCAAGATCCCCTTCAGCATGTGTTTAATTAACTCTGCTCTTTTTTAAAGTCTTGTTTTAAGTCATCCATCCATAATGCCTTTTCCCCCCATCTATGAGGAGAACCTTTGAAGAGCAGAGGTGGAACCCCCTCTGCCTACAAGAAGGGTCTCTGACCATCAGTGTTTTTCTCTGTGGGGTGTTCCCCAGCCACTGCCAGCCTTGGGCCATGGCAGGGCCCCACATGGTCACTGCTTCTCTCTGCAGGATCGCCTGGGGCTGCAGGAGATGGACAAAGCAGGAAAACTGGTGTTCCTGGGGGTGAAAGGGGATCACCTCCACTTCTCCGAAGAGTGGTTTTACAGCACTATCCTCCCCTTCCTCCAGTGAAGCTGAGGGGAGGCTGCACCCTGGGAGAATCCACCACTGTAGTTAATGCAGCTGCTACTGTGCAACAGCACTTTGTGTGTACAATCCTGCGGGGACCTGGGGAAGGGGAAGAAGAGGAATTTTTAGCTCAGCAGTGCCACAGCGTGCAGAGGTGGCACTTCTAACGCTGCAGTCAGAGATTGGGATTCGTCTGGATGTAATTACACTCCGAGAAGGGTGGATTAAGCCTTGC